ACAATCAGGACTGGCTGCAGTGCACGTCAGGGCACGCCACGCCGTAACATCTGTTGGGCCTTGGCACATTCAGGCATCAATTCCTTCTTGGCCAACGGCGATCCTCCCTCGACCTACATCGGTCCCGGGGGTAGTCCTCGTGTGACACTTATTGCGCAGCTGCGAATCAATGCGACAGCCATAGCAGTCCGGACGGGGTTTAAACGTGGCCATTTTAGAAATAAAAAGAGAACTGGAAAAAAGGAAAGGAGTTGGCAAAAAGGAAAGGGAATTAGAAATCATGCAAGCAGACTGGACCTCGAACGTCTTGCTGCTTTGGATTTGCACGCCACTGTCGCCGTGGAGAGCTATCTTGCTACTACTACTACTACTACTACTAGGTTTTCTAGCTGTTGATGCAACTTTTACATGTTTGTGTTGGAATCCCAGCACGGCGCACGCACAGGCTCAAGGGCCCACTAAGATCGGCGAGTTTCGGGGACCAACAAGCCCCGAGCTCACCTGTATATAAAGGGAGCCAGAGGCTCCCTCCTTCCCATTCGTTTTCTAGAGAGACAGACAACAGACAGACCTTGAATAGACCCCTTCCAGGTCATTGTCTCACCCCTTCATCGGAGATCTCCTCACCAAGGACACCATAGTCCTCCCAAAAGTTTTATTAAAATGGGTATTCCCGGGTATGTATATAACCAACCCAGTCTTTATAACATTATTCCAGAGACTGATGTCACGTCCTATGTTTGAAGCATGTACAAAGAAATCGGGCCTGGGGACCGTATCTCTTTATCCAAACTTGCTGTCGAGACATTTGAACGAACAGGCCGCCCGCTGCGATTAGCTATCGACATCAATATGGCAGTTCCAGGCGCAGGCGGCCAAGGGTGGCTCCAACCCGGCTACCCGAACGCTCTTCTACCGCCTCGTCCGCCTGCAAAGCCATTCCATCCAGCCTACCTTTGTATTTGACGGCCCCAACAAGCCCACCATGAAGCGCGGCCGCCGCACAAGTGGTAGCCGGGGTGGTGCCGTGTCCACAGCTATAGCCAAGCGCCTCATTCATCTATTCGGCTTCTACACCCATGATGCGCCAGGCGAGGCCGAGGCCGAGTGCGCCCTGCTGCAGCGATGCGGCATCGTTAACGCCGTGCTTAGCGAGGACGTCGATACAATTATGTTTGGCTGCACGTGCACCTTGCGAAACTGGTCTGCCGAGAAGGAGGAGGGGAGCAGCAGTGGCCCACCCACGCATGTTACCGTTTATAATTCGGCCGCTATCGCACGCCCGGACGCCGCGGGCATTGACGGCGAGGGAATGGTGCTCGTTGCGCTGATGAGCGGCGGTGACTACGATCCGGACGGCATCCCGGGCTGCGGCCCCAGGGTAGCGTGCCAAGCAGCTCGCGCCGGCTTCGGCAAATCTCTCTGCAGGATCAAGCGCTCCGACCCGCCAAGCGTCTTGGCCGCATGGCGCGAAGAGCTCAGGCGGGAGCTGGCCGATAACACTAAAGGCTTCTTCAGCAAACGAAACAAAAACATAGCCGCCGCAATACCCGACAACTTCCCCAATATGGAGGTCCTGGGCTACTATAGGTACCCGAATGTGTCCCAGGACGCTGTGCTTGAAAGTGTTAGATGCTCCTTCCTTGGCACTACTGCTGGCGGTAATATGGATCTTCAGGGCCTGCGAGACTTTGCTGCGCACACATTTGACTGGAGTGGCAAAGAAGGCGCGACTAAATTCATCCAGGTGTTGGCCCCTAGTCTTTTGGTGCGGAAGATGCTGCTGCCATTGAAACCGAATGGTTGTCTGGTGAAGGCAATATCTAAACGGCGCATCAGCCACGCCAGCAGCGGCCGAATTCACGAACTGCGCGTGTCGTTTCTGCCGTTAAGCGTTGTCGGTATCGATCTTAACGCGGAGCCAGAAAAGGTTCCAGGAATACGCGGGTGCAGTGGGCTGGCTTTCAATGGTGACGAGAAGTTCGAAGCCGAGGCGCCTAGCTCCACGCAGGGCGGCGGACCGAAAAAGGGATTTGACCCATGCAAGCCAAACCTAGTCTGGATCCCCGAGTTTGTGGTTAGGCTTGGGGCTCCTGAGGCGCTGAGGAATTGGGAAGTAGAGCAGAGGGCAAAAAAGGAGGCGGCACCGGCGCCAAAAACAACAAAAGCCAAAAGAGCAAAGGCCGCCCAGGAACCCAATCACACCATTGGTAGGTATTTCAAAGTGACAAGGAGAGGAAGCGTACGGGATCACTAATGCTTAACTTGTATCTTCTCGTCCATTGGCCTAGTGGGATTAGGCTTAGCTAAAATCGAACCGTGACACTCACGTTTTCCCATCTTCGGTTGTTGTAAGCTATCTAGATATTACGACGTGCTTCCTTGCCGCAAATTACACTTGGCAGTATAATATTTTCATACGTCCATTTTGTCTACCACGGAAACTAATTATTTTACATTTACATTAATATCCTTATGATGTATAAGCCAGTCCCACCAATAATCTCTAGTTTCGTACTTGCAGTTACCGATTTGACCCCCTTGAAAAATAGGTTCTGAGGCATTACTCCGGTTGATAAAATAATAATTGATTATATGACTTATGTCTCCATAGCCAATGTAGTATATTGGCTCGCTAATTTGGTCTGAGCTTTCGGCTTTAGAAACCGAAAGCTGCGTGGTTTTCAAAGAAATTTTGCACGTATTAAAAACGAGTTCTTCGCTCGATTGAAACACGTTCCGTTGATAAGCACGAGAAAAGATCCCTTTATCACCAATGGATAAAGTCGGTTTCCGCCGAAGCTTAGCTATAAGCTGATAGCAGTCCCCGGCGGTAGCTTTAATATCACTTGTCGGGTTTGAATACAAGGCAAACAGTGATATTTTTGGAGAACAGATTTGGTACCCAATATCCCGAGGAAGCATAGTGCGTCCAGAGGCAGCCCAGTGAATTGGAACCTTACTAAGCGGTGGCTTATTTGCAACAACTATAGAAATAAAATTAATTGTTGCAAGAATGTAGTACGAAATATCTTTCTCAAACTTCATTATGTTAGCCTATATTGATATTATGTAGGTTTAACAACAAAACGATGCGTACTTTACAAAGCAGCGTATAATCTTCCTTATTTATAATAAAATAACGTAAATCACAAGCGGATATCGCACACAAGCGAATAGCGTACTTTAGGGCAGGTTTGGTAGTAAAGGTGTTTTTTGTTTTTTCTATACAAAAGCTATAAACTAACGTAGTCCACAAGCGAGTGCCACACCCACACCCAACTTCCGGTTAATCGACGCGCATGCCAACCCAACAACGCCAGGAATCCATTCAAACTATTCGGAACTGTATACATCGGACATCTCTACTTCTTCCTGACAGGTGCGCGCATTGTGTCCGGTCTTGCCGCAGGTGCCACATCGCCGACGAGTCGTTGTCGCCCTCCTTTCCTAACCCCCATGGTCGCGCATTTCTTGCTGTAGCTGTCCATCCAGCTCCTCCTGGTCCAAAGCATTTCGTACCTTTTCGACAGTATGTAACCCTTTTTATCGAACACGTGTTTTTTTGGCCTTCCGGCGTTTGCTTAATGCTTCGTTCGCTTTGCGTAGCGAAGCAACTTCGGCTTTAAAAAGGGCCACTTAATGCATTATCGAACTCGTTCCTTTCGCAAACTGGTCCATAGCCGCTAGCATTGGTAACGGAAAGCTGTTTCGGTGATTGGAGATCCGAGTTTTAATGTGTTCGAACTGCGAAATTGCGTCCCTGGCTGTCTGGGGCGTTTTAGAAGTCCAAGGTTCGGCGTCGCTCAGGGGCTTTCTCGGGGGAGTTGGAGTCCGTAACCTTATATCCAGCTTTTCCAAAACCGAATCCGGATTGAAAGGAGCAAGGCCAGCCCCTCGGAAACCTCCCTGGATATTTTTTTCGGTTATGGAATTAAAAAATGCCGCTTTAAACGCCAAAAGGAACTCGACCTTGGTTACGTGGCTAAGGGCCAGTACGGCACTAATTCTGGTTTATGGTTTTTACATAACGTGTTTCATCAGTAAGTGACGCACATCAGCAAGTGACGCGTTTTCCATCGCGACCCGCGTCTCCCACTTCCAACCTCAATTGCTCAACAACCACAAATGGCATCCACATCCAACGAAGCTAGAATTGTTCTTGCCATGCGGGCAATGCAATCTAACGCGCAATTAAGCGTGCGTTCGGCCGCCAAAATCTACGACGTTCCTGAAGCCACGCTGCGTCGCCGACGCGCTGGCCGACCTGCTCGACGCGATTACGTACCCAAATTACGGAAATTGACGGAATCCGAAGAGGAGGCGCTTGTCAAATACATACTCGAACTGGATTCGCGAGCATTCCCTCCCCGGCATTCTGGTGTTGAAGATATGGCCAATCGATTGCTCGCCGAACGTGACGCGGACGCCGTCGGCAAGTGCTGGGTTGAAAAGTTCGTTAAACGCCGCGCAGAGCTCGGCACGCGCTGGATTCGAAAGTACGATTACCAGAGGGCCAAGTGCGAAGATCCCAAGCTCGTTTCTGCGTGGTTCGACCTTGTACGGAACACTGTGGCCAAATATGGCATTCAGGATGACGACATTTACAACTTCGACGAAACCGGCTTCCTTATGGGCATGATCGCCGCCGTTATGGTTATTACAACATCGGAAGGCCGTGGCAAAGCAAAGCTGGTCCAGCCTGGCAACCGAGAATGGGCCACAGTCATCCAAGGGGTTAACTGTTGCGGTTGGGCGATCCCTCCTTTCATCATCGTCAAGGGGCAGTACCACCTGGCCAATTGGTACTCGGAAACCGACCTTCCACGCAATTGGGTTATCGCAACAAGCGCCAATGGGTGGACTACGAACGAGCTCGGCCTGCAATGGATCCAGCATTTCGACAAACACACTGCAGCTCGTTCCACGGGATCCCATCGTCTGTTAGTGCTGGACGGGCACGAAAGCCACCACTCGACGGATTTCGAGCTTTACTGCCAAAAACACAACATCGTTACGCTTTGCATGCCTCCGCATTCGTTACACTTCCTTCAGCCGCTTAACGTTGGGTGTTTTAGCCCGCTGAAAAAGGCGTACGGTCGAAAAATCGAAGACCTGATGAGGTCGCACGTTAACCACGTGACCAAGGTCGAGTTCCTTTCGGCGTTTAAAGCGGCATTTTTTGACTCCATAACCGAGAAAAACATCCGAGGAGGTTTCCGAAGGGCTGGCCTTGCTCCTTTCAATCCGGATTCGGTTCTGGAAAAGCTGGATGTGAGGCTACGGACTCCAACTCCCCCAAGGACGCCCCTGAACGACCCTGAACCTTGGACCTCCAAAACGCCGCGGACAGCCAGGGAAGCAACTTCGCAGTCCGAACACATTAAAACTCGGATTTCCAATCACCAGGGCAGCTCTCCGACATCCATGCTGGCGGCTGTGGACCAGTTTACGAAAGGGGTCAGGGCAATCATGCATCGGGTCAACCTTTTGGAAGAAGAGTGCTTTAGGTTACGAAGGGCGAACGAGGCACTAAGCAAACGCCGGAGGGCCAAAAAAACACGTGTCCGACAAAAAGGGTTACATACTGTCGAAAAGGTACGAAATGCTTTAGATCAGGAGGAGCTGGATGGGCAGCTACAGCAAGAGATGCGCGACCATGGGGGTCAGGAAAGGAGGGCGACGACAACTCGTCGGCGATGTGGCACCTGCGGTAAGACCGGGCATAATGCGCGCACCTGTCAGGAGGAAGTAGAAATGTCCGATGTATACAGTTCCGAATAGTTTGAATGGATTCCTGGCGTTGTTGGGTTGGCATGCGCGTCGATTGTCGAATGGTCGGGTTTGGGTGCGTCATTTGCTGATGTGCGTCACTTAAGTCAGTGCACCCCGAGTCCGCCACCCCCCCTGTCCGCCACCCTCTTCCCCATACAAACGGGTGAAAACTCACTGTTTTTACAACGCAATTAAAACTCGAATAAAAATCGCAAAAATATGCAGTGAGCGGGGATATAAAGAGTAAAAGTGGGAATATATTTTAATAATTTATATTATATTCTATATGTAACGGTTGGTAACTAAATTCCAAATGAATTAATAATAGGTAAAATGTTAAGGATTGCTAACAAATTATATGGGAATTATAACATTTGAAAATTGCTAATAACTTTTTAATAGCATACGTTACAAATATGCGGCTTTCTGCATTATATATATAAAATTGCAAATTTTAATGTATAATATTTGCATATAATATATATTACGTAATTACCCAGATTTTTAACATATACACAGTGTATTGCACAGTGCACTGGAAATTTGTTTTTTAAAAATTATAAAAAAATTAACGTGGTTCACAAGCGAGTCGGACACACAAGCGAGTCGGACATGTGCAAAATGCATATTAAACACGGTTTTCGATACCCTTGCTAACTCAGCCAATTTAAGCCCAAATTTAACTAAATTTAAACAGGATATATTTAATTACGTAGTAAATTTAATTTAATTTTCTTAGATTTTTAGTATTACCTTTTTACGGTTAGTTCGAAACACTGTATAATACACTGTTCAAATTATACAAATTACTTTAAAATGGTAATAATAAATTTTTATAAAATTTAAAAAAATTAGGTTATATTTACTACGTAATTGCGCATAACCTGCGAAAATATTATTAAATTTAAGCCTAAATTGGCCGAGTTAGCAAGGGTATCGAAAACCGTGTTTAATATGCATTTTGCACATGTCCGACTCGCTTGTGTGTCCGACTCGCTTGTGAACCACGTTATATGAGTTTGGTTTTTTAAATATAATAACTACGTATTTTAGCTTTAATATTTCGTGTAAATTTACTGCAGTAAAATGTACATAACAATTGTAAAATTATTCCCGTTTTTTATTTACATATAAATTATATGTAATTTTTTACTTTTAATAAATATTTAAATTTAATACCCGTAATAGCGTATAAATAATATCTTCTTAGCATATATTAAAAACCGCGTTTTTAAATCGTATAACCCCGTTTACTGTATACTTTTCCGATTTTTATTCGAATTTTAATTGCGTTGTGAAAACAGTGAGTTTTCACCCGTTTGTATGGGGAAGAGGGTGGCGGACAGGGGGGGTGGCGGACTCGGGGTGCACTGACTTAATACAATGCAATAACAACCCATGGAAGCAAAAAGTTGCAGTGAGTGGGGTATCTCGATTTAAACTATAGATGTCAAGTAGCCAGTAGACAGCTAGGGATACAGAGAAGGGGGGGACGCTGTCATTGTCAACGGTAGCATTGAAAGCCGAAGGGTGCTCTGCCTCCATAGAGAACGATCATCCCTTGGGCAGTGGGAAATACTCAACTGGCACTGCCACCGTCTGTCCCGCAGGCACGACGACGCCGGACTTGCTGGTCACCTTGCGGACCACTGGGACACCGCTTTTCATGGTGACGATAGGGACGTGAAAGTTCTCCTGGGGGAACGAGATGAGGTCCGCTCCGAAATCCATCATAGCCTCTCGTGGTTTGAAGAAGGCGATTCCCAGAAGTACTCCTGCTCCCAGCGATTTGACGAGCCAGGCGCAGCCTGTCTGCTGCAGGATGCCGGGTCGCCCGTTGAGGTGGAAGCCTGGGGTGAAGAACGTGATTTCTGCGAACTTGGTGCTCTTTTCTGGGCAGGGCGAGTTCCATCCTCCCAGGATCGGCTGGGCGTCGGGATCAGTGACATCGTAGAACTTGTAAGTAAAGCCATTCCGGTCCAGGAACTTAACTGTTATCATATTATGGCCGGCACCGGAGTTTGCGCAGATCTCCACGTCTTGGCCGTTGATCGACAGGCGGATCTTCATTTTGGCGTACTGGTAGCCTCCGAGCGCCGTCGTCTCGACAGGGGCCTTTGGAATCTCCCTGATAACGTCGGACTCGTCGTATTGCCGGACGGCATCCTTTCCCGTCATTTCGTAAATAGGGATGCCAGGGCAAGCGGTGAGGTGAGCAAAAAGAAGGTTGCGTGACGGCATCGTCGTGCCGCAGGAGCGGCAGGTGTGCGACTCTGTGTAGAGGTCGACGACGTTGTGCACATCGTCAACAGGCGCGCCTCCGTCGCTATCATCGTCAGAGGCCTCGCCTGAGTCCTCATGCGGACTCTCGGGGCCGTCGGAATCGACGTTGTGGATCCTTTCCCTGTCGCGGGGCCTGTAGTTGTCTCGGTCGTCCCGACGGTAAGGGCGATCTTCTTTGCGGTCGTTACGGCGTTGAGGGCGATCGTCCTTGCGATCCTCTCGGCGATTGAAGCGGTCCCCGTCGCGAGCGTAGCGTCGGCGATCCTTGTCGCGGTCGTCGCGGTCGCGATCCTTGTCGCGGTACGTCTCAAGGGGACGGTTGTTCTTGAAGTCGCGCTAGCCTCGGAAGTCACGGAAGCCTCGATTGTCCTGGGGATACCTGCTGCGAGGTTTCTCGTGCTTGCGAGAGTGCTCTTTGGTGTCCTTTTTGTCTCGGAGATCGTGCAGTTTGGCCGAAGCGTTGGGGTATCTCTTGCGTGCCAGTCTCACCAGTCGGGTATTGGCCGGAAGGCAACAGCATCGGCGGCGTCCACGCCGCCACCGGGGCGGATCGCGAGCGGTAGGGCGAGCCCGATGGCGAACACGAAGGAGGTAATAAGGGTGACGCCCATGTCCAACGCGAGGCCGGCGCAAGGCACACCCTCGACCGCGGTCTTGACGGGGGCAAAGTCGACGGCGGCAAGGCACCGAGCCGCGAGAACGAGGGTAGGTGCCGCTGATCCATCCAAATCATCGACTTCTTCTCTGCTAACCTGGTTCCCCGTACCTGCAGCACCTACCCGGGGCCCGGTCGATGTGCCCACGCCGCGCCCGGCGGCGTCGACCACCCACATGGCCGCCCCGCCCCCCTATCGTGTACCTTTGCCACCTACGCCCCCATCGACGCTCGCCACCGCCGGTACCCCGGCGCCCAACACCTCGATGCCGCCCACCCATCGACCGGCGGGCGAGCCAGATCGCGGTCCAACCCAACGGCAAACCAGGCCCGCCCCGCCGGGGGCTCCCAACCGTCCAAGGGAATCCTTCTTCCAGCATTTTCGAGAGGCCATGCGGGAAACCCCGTACGCGACGCTCCAGCCGGCCTGAAGCCAAACGCCGCCAGCTCAACGGACCCATACACGGGGTCCCGACCAGCAAACGCCGCAAGGTCGGGGACCGGCATAACCCCGAGGCCTGTTGATCATCGGGCCTGCCACCAAAGCAGGCACGCCTTTGCCTCGAAATGCAGTTCCTTTGCGACCACGTCCTTTGCGCCCGACCGGACATCCGGCAACGAAATCACTCACCGTCGGCAAGAATGGGCATTAAAGGGCTTTGGCCAAAAGGGAGGCCTGGTTTCACGCTCGATAGCTACCGCCACAACGGAGGCCAGGATCGAGCCATTGAACCACGGCATCGGGGTGGTTTTACCCCGCACCCGCACGCAGGACCGTGTTCGAATAGGCCGCCTTTGCGAATCCGTCGACGGGGCCACAAGGACGAAACTTTTGGGGGCAAGCCGCCGGGGGGGAGGGGGAGGG